TGGGGGCAATCCATTATCATAATGGGCCTCACAGGGCATCGTCGGGAAACACAGTCCACCAGACTAAGGGAATAACCCCTTGGGTCTAAGCACCCATAGCGGGTTCCATGAGTCCTCCTCTCCTTCCTCCTCTTCCTCCTCCTCCTCCTCCGCCTCCACCTCCGTCTCTTCCTCCTCGTCCGTTTTATTTCCAGTGGGTGAGCGCCGAAGCGCGTTCCAGAGGGACATCTTAAGCCTTAATCCCTCGATTCTCCGGCCTCCGGAGGCCCGAAACGAACATGAGCGAATTACCGTATTGGTTGTTTTGCAGCGGGTAACAACAAAAACCTTTATGTGATAAAAACAAATAGAATCTGCTGGCAGGTTATGACAATGTTGATAACGATTATGCTTCGCAAGAGATTCCGAAGGTCATTGCGACGATAAGCACGTGTTTCAAGATGTTGCTGTTAACGACGGTGGTAACACGCATTCCTTTGAAGGTGATGGCGATGACGATTGCGGTGACGAGTATGTGTTACAAGACGCTGCTGATGACGATGGTGATGACGAGTATGTGTTTCAATATGCTGCTGATGACGATGATGATGACTAGTATGTGTTTCAATACGCTGCTGATGACGATGGTGATGACAAGTACGTGTTTCAAGATGTTGCTGATGACGATGGTGATGACGAGTATGTGTTTCAAGATGCTGATGATGACGATGGCGATGACAAGCATTTGTGCCAAGATGCTGCTGATGACGATGGTGTTGACGAGCATGTGTTTCAAGACGCTGCTGATGACGATGGTGATGACGAGCATGTGTTTCAATGCGCTGCTGATGACGATGGTGATGACGAGCATTTGTTTCAAGATGCTGCTGATGATGATGGTGATGACGAGCATGTGTTTCAAGATGCTGCGGATGACGATGGTGATGACGAGCATGTGTTTCAAGATGCTGCTGATGACAATGGTGATGACGAGCATGTGTTTCAAGATGCTGCGGATGACGATGATGATGACGAGCATGTGTTTCAAGATGCTGCTGGTGACGATGGTGATGATGACGAGTATGTGTTTCAAGATGCTGCTGATGACGATGATGATGATGACGAGCATGTGTTTCAAGATGCTGTTGACGATGGTGATGATGGCGAGCATGTGTTTCAATATGTTGATGATGATGCTGATGACGAGCATGTGTTTCAATGCGCTGCTGATGACGATGGTGATGACGAGCATGTGTTTCAAGATGCTGCTGATGACGATGGTATTGACGAGTATGTGTTTCAAGATGCTGCTGATGACGATGGTGCTGACCAGCATGTGTTTCAATGCGCTGCTGATGACGATGGTGATGACGAGCATGTGTTTCAATATGCTGCTGATGACGGTGATGATGATGACGAGTATGTGTTTCAAGATGCTGCTGATGACGATGATGATGATGATGATGATGATGACGAGTAGGTGTCTCAAGATGCTGCCCATGACGATGGTAACGACGAGCATGTGTTTCAAGATGCTGCTGATGACGATGATGATGATGAGTATGTGTTTCAAGATTCTGCTGATGACGATGGTGATGACGAACATGCGTTGGGAGCAACGCGTTGTCATAATGAGTTTCACAGAGCACGATCGAGTGGGAAGCACAGCCCACCAGATTAAGGGAATAACTCCCTGGGGCTGGGCACCCACAGCAGATTCCATAAGTTATCCTTTCTTCACCCTTTTTCCTCCTCCTCCTCCTCCGCCTCCACCTCCGTCTCTTCGTCCTCACCCCTCTTACTTCCAGTGGGTGAGCGCCGAAGCGCGTTCCAGAGAGACTAATAAGCCTTAATATCTCGATTCTCCGGCCTCCGGAGGCCCGACATAAACATTAGCGGATTACAGATTGATTTCTTTTGTTGTTGAATTACAGAAAAGGGAATCCTTTTGTGGTGAACTAACATTGTTGTATACTGTGGCAGATTACAAACGGATTCCTTTTGTGGAGAATTACAAAAGGATTTCTTTTGTGGAGGATCACATGATGATTCCTTTTTGTGGCGAATTACAAAAGGGAATCCTTCTGTGGTGAATTACAAAAGGATCTCTTTTGTGGAGGATTACAAAGGGATTCCCCTTGATGGAGGAATACAAAGGGATTCCTTTTGTGGAGAATTACAACTTGATTTCCTTTGAGGGCTCTCCTGGAAGTGAACCAGGGGACAAAAGAAAAAACAAAAATCAGAAAATCCAGGAAAATACTCAAAGGAAATCAATTTGTAATTCTCCACAAAAGGAATCCCTTTGTATTCCTCCACCAAAGGGAATTTCTTTGTAATCCTCCACAAAAGGGATCCGTTTTGTAATCCTCCACAAAAGGAATCCTTTTGTAATCCGCCACAAAAGGAAACAATTTGTAATACATCATGAACAGAATTCCCTGGTAATTCCTTACAACAGAACTCAATTTAAAATGTTCTACAACAGGAATCGTTCTGCATTCCACTACTTTGAGCAATCCCTTTAGAGATGACGAAAAGCATAATCAACAGGAAAGCAAGCACATCAGAAGTAATAGACCAAAAACCGAGGTGGTACACACACACACACGGTTTTATCAACCTTACCCCCCCCCCCCCCTCGAAAACCGAGGGGGGGTGCGGACAGTGGTGGGGACGGTGGTGATGGGGACAGTGGTGAGGGGACAGCGGGACAGTGGTGAGGACAGTGGGACAGTGGTGGGGACGGTAGTGGTGGGGACAGTGGTGGGGACAATGGTGGGAACAGTGGGGACAGTGGACAGTGGAGGGGACGGTGGTGGTGGGGACAGTGGTGTGGGGACAGTGAGAATGAGGTGGAAACAGTGGGACAATGGAGGGTACAGTGGTGGGGACAGTGGTGAAGGCGGTGGCGAAGATGGCGGTGGGACAATGGGACAGAGGTACAGTGGGGACAGTGGTGCGGACAGTGGGGACAGTGGTGGGAACAGTGGGACAGCTCAGTGGGACAGCGGAGGAGTCAGTGGGACAGTGGGGACAGTGGGGATAGTCGGGCAGTGGTTGGGGCCGTGGAGAAAGTGGGGAGAGTGGAACCGTGGTGGGAACAGTGGTGGGGACAGTGGGGACAGTGCGACAGTGGTGGGGGCACTGGTGGGGACAGTAGGGACGGTGGTGGAGCCAGTGGGGACAGTGGTGGTGAGGACAGTGGTGCTGGGAACAACAGTGGGGGATGTGGTGCGGACGGTGGTAGGGACCGGGAGTCGTTTGCTGGCGGTGAGTGGGGGGGGTGGGGAGGGGTTCGAACCGGTAGTGACCCCCCCTCCGGTTTTCGAAAGGGGGGGGGGGCTCGAACCGGTAGTGACCCCCCCGGTTTTCGAGGGGGAGGGGGGGGGGGTTAGGGGAGAGGGGGGGGGTTCAGCAGGGGGGGAGGGATTTTCGGAGGGGGGGGGGGAACCCCGGGTTCTGGAGGAAAAGGGCGGCAATTTTCCACAGTAAAGCGGCGGTGGATCACGCTCTCTCTATCATCGGTATCACCATCGATCTCATTATCGATATCACTGTCGATCTCACTATCGATGTCACCATCGATGTCACCGTCTCTCTCTCTCTCTCTCTCTCTTTCCCCCTCTCGATTTCACCATCGGTTTCACTATCGATGTCGTTATCGACCTCACGATGGGACACCACGGGACACCCACGGGACATCGGCGAGACACCCCCCGCCATCGCTGGATAATCCAGGATGGCGGTCTTTGAGTTTGGTGGCGCCTTGGCCACAAGAGGGCTCATGCCTCCCGCCCGCCCACGCAGCTTCGCCTCACCCGCACGGGCGACACGAACACGCAACCGCAACCGCTATCCCGGTTGGGGGCTCTTTGTTTCACCGCGATCTCATTTCGCCTCCGATTGATGTAGAATAGCAGTATCCGTGCCAGCAGCAGCCTTGGCAGCCGCAGCAACAGCACCAGGCGTAGGTGTAGGCGGGGGTGGACATCATAGAGGTAGAGGGCAGGGAGCAGGAATAGTTTTTATGACCCGGGGGAACAGGAGGAGGAGGACCAGAGTAAACCCAGGATGCATTAACGATGTTGCGATGCACTCTTCTGTTTCAAGTTACCCCCTCATGTTGCACTGAAGTATCAGGTATCTGCCCAGGGGTAGGAGTATCAAGCGGCAGGAAGGATCAAGCGAGAGCCTCTTCGTCACACGACGCCTTCCTCCATCCAGGACGCAGCTACACAATTTGCCTATCTCTGATCAGTAACGACAGTGACAGCTACATAATGATCCAGGGGAGGAGGAGGAGGTGGTGGAGGAGGAGGAGCTCCAGCGGTGATAGGGCGGAGGAGCAGGAATAGGGAGGATGAGGAGGGGATGAGGAGGACGAGCAGGAGGAGGAGGAGGTGGAGGAGGAGGCGGAGGAGAATGATCCAGCCTTTCACCTGGAGCCACAACCAAGCGATTCCACATGTCGTGCCTCCTTGGGCATTTCTCAAGATGAAGGCCTGGACGGTGAGGACGAAGAAGGGCTGCAGATGTTGCAGCACACGGGCCAGAGGCTTCTCGGAGCTGCCGCGCGCAGAGAGAGAGAGAGGGAGGGAGAGCGAGAGAGAGAGAGAGAGAGAGATGCGGCCTCCAGCCGCAGTCTCTCTCTAGATCGGCCCTTCGCACAAAACATCCTCTGCTCTGTTATGGGAAGCACCCTAAGAGGAGGAATAGGAGCACCACGAGCCTCGTCAAGAACAGATTGGGACGCCGTTCGAAATCGAAGCGCCCGATCTTTCGGGCACTTGTCAGGAAACGCATTCTTCAATGCTGCGAGGGCACTGCCGAATTTCAAACGCCCCTGCGCCTGGGCCAAACGGCTCATGCCAGCGTTGAAGTAGCGCCGGCCGCTCAAGAGCCGGACTAAAAACTTGTCAATGTATTTTCGACGAGTCTTCCAGGAGGAGATGGGAGAATAGCAGCAAAAGGAGAAGCAGCCGCAGCAACGGCAGCAGATGCGGCCGAGGGCTGGGCAGGGAGTCTGGGTACTGGGCTGGACACCTGTCCGGAAGCCCGTACCACATCAGCGCCCTCTTCGTGGTGGATTTGCTGGAAGGGATGGGTCTGGTTGGGATTTGAGCCTGGCGACCTTCGGAGTGAGACTCTGGCCCCATCGCCTTCCTCAGCGATGGCGCCGTGGGTGCTGGATTTGCCTGGAAGGGCCGGCGCCCTGATTGGCCATGGAGGAGGCGGCAGCGCTTCTTGAGAAGCTTTGCTGCACCCCCAGGTCATAACCCTTATGTACGGTTCCCAGAGGCCTCCCGAGGCTCGCAGCGGCTCAAGAAAATTGGAAATTTGGGGGTGGGACCGGAGTGAAGCGTGATGCGCCCCGACCAGGAAATCGTTCCGTTTCCTACGTGACGTGGGTGCGGTCGAGGCGAGGCGAAGCGCCCAGGTGGGTGTCCGCATGGCTGTCACGATCGTTGTCCCGAGGGGTGTCCCGATAATTGCTCCGATGGTGTCCCGATGGGTGTCCATCGATAAACAGGGAGCTCCACACATATCTATAGATGTCTGTATTGACAGTGTCATTGGTAGGTTTATCGTGAGACCTACACATACCTCGGCATACGGATGGTATTGTATTATAGATCGGAAATGTTGTCGATCTCCCAATTTATAGGGAGAGAGAAAGAGGGAGCCGGGTCGATAACCATACATATATATATATACACATACGAGCACCTTTCGGATGATAAGGAGGTTTGGGGGGGTTGGGGGGCGGAACCAACGTCTTACTCAATCGGTATCACTATTGATCTTGCGGTCGATCTCACTATCGATCTCACTACGGGACCCACCGACGGGGCACCGACGGGACATCATTATCGATCTCACGATCGATCGATCTAGATCGATCTCACTATCGATGTCACTATTGATCCCACTGTCAATCTCACGATCGATTCCACTATCGGTATCACTATCGATGTCACTACCAGTCTCACTATCGATACCACTATCGATGTAACTATCGACCTCATTAACCGCGTGCGAGCGATAATAAAGTACCCCCCCCCTTTCCCCATCCTATTGTTTAAATCCCCGTCCAATAGGATTTAATTGTGGAGAGGGGCGCGGAGGCCGAACTTTGTAATCCACGGGAAAGTTGCGAATCGAAGTTGCTACATCTCATGTTGACTAAGGCTGAGACGGCCGAGCAGGATTCCTCTTCCTCATCTTTCTTCAGGTTTTCTCTTTTTCTTGTTTCTGCTCCTCTTCTTTTATCTTTCGGACCGAAGTTGCTATCACTTCGTGCTGACTAGCAACAGCTTCAAAAATGCGTTGCCTTCTCTTCCTTCTTCTTTTCCTTTTGCTTCTCTTTTCCTCTCTTCTTCCGCCCCCCCCCCCCCAGGGGCCGAACTTTTTGTATCCCCTGGTGTTTTTTCATCCCCCGCGGGGTTCCACCATTGACCCCCTTGCATGCGAGGTTGAAAACGATCAACCATATTTTTTGTACAAACAAAAGCGTAAGGCTCCGGATCCAAAAATGTTTTGGAAATCGAAGTCTATCGAGTCAGCCTTGTGCCGTGCGCCTGCTGGCAAGTAGCCACGAGCCTCGAGATCTCTCGAGTCAGCCTTGTGTCGTGCGCCTGGTTAGTCACGAGCCTCGAGATCTCTCGAGTGAGCCTTGTGCCGAGCGCCCAGGATCACCACCATCATCATCATCATCATCATCATCATCATCATCATCATCATCATCATCATCATCATCATCATCATTGTCATCATCATCATCATCATCATCATCATCATCATCATCTTCATCGTCATCGTCACCGTCATCATCATCATAACTTACCATTGCGTCCGCTGTGGGTTCCCGCGCCAATCGCCTGACGACATGAAGACATGAAGACATGATGGTCTCAACCTGGGGACCGGGGCCCCGGGTGGGGTCAGAACACCTCGCGACGACATGAAGACATGAAGACGTGAAGACATGCTGCCCTGCCCGACGACATGACGACATGAAGACATGAAGACATGCTGCCCTGCCCGACGACATGAAGACATGAAGACATGAAGACATGCTGCCCTGCCTGACGACATGAAGACATGAAGACATGAAACTTAGGTCGTCAAGTCTTCATGTCTTCATGTCGTCGGACCGATATCCGGCGACCTCATGCAGGAAGGGCGACGTCTTCACGTCTTCATGTCTTCAGGTCGTCAGGTTCTTTCTCCCCTTCCTGTTGTTCCTCTCTTCGTCATGCTCTCCTGTTGTCCTCCTCTCGACGACGGCGGCAGGAGTGCCGGGTTTGGGAAAACGCGATGTTTCGTGATCAACCGAGGGCCGACCTGACAAAGACCAGCCGCACGCGTACTAACCTGAGCATTAAAAGTGAGGGCCAGCGATGGAGACGCTACTCGATCCACATCCTCGCTTCGCGAGAGGGGTCGTCGTCGTCCGAGCCGAAGCGGAAAGGGGAGAAGGAAGAGGAGGAAGAGGAGGAGGACTAGGAGGGCAGGTTG